CATCTCACATTAACAGAGATGTTGTTTTTTATGAACTGACATTACTTCCATAGATCCCTTACAAACTATTTCTCTCTTCTCTCTGCTCTAAGAGACCCTCAGGCATGCATCAGGTATGTTTATACTGAGTGACATTTTGTAGTAGATGTCCACATTGGAGACAGGTTCATATTGATCTGGGCTGAGAAACGGGACGAGGGATTGATCGTAATTTGTGACAGACCTATTTCCTAAACTCGTCAGCCTGCCTCTCTAAGAATGCCTCAGGTCATACAGAAATAAAATAAGGAAAACAACCCGTATCCCGTGGCCTAATAAATCAATGCACGAGGCAGAAAAGAACTGGCAGCTCTGAAGAATATAAACAAAATCACTGGGACTTTCTTTATCAAAATGAAACATCTTTGGATCTGATAATCCGCGGATGTAAATGTAGATTACTAGATTGAGATGTTACATTCACTACTGTGTCTGGGTGGGTGCTATGACACATGCAGAAGAGTTACTGTTGATTCAAAACCAATCAAAAGGAGATTAAAATCATTCTTTAAGATATACTTAACTGTGACAATATGTCAGGCCATCTTTAATCGTGATTGTTCTCTGGAAGCTGCGTGTGTGTGAGAGAGGGATAGACAAACAGGCAGACATATACTTAGATAAGATTTAGAGGGATGGTACATACAAAATAATGTAAAAACACTTGCATAACTAATGTAATGTAACGCTCCATAGAAAATCAGTGAACCTTGAAGTAACACCATCCCAAGGAAAAGGTCATTACTCTAATAAGTGGCAGTTTGCAGCCTTTGTGAGCTGTAAAGGTTGTCTGGCACTTTGATGTATTTTAAAGCAACATGAGACATCTAACGGAGCTTTTAGCCAAACTGCAGATGCATCTTTCAACAAAAAACAACTACTAAATTATTGGTGCTGTGTGGTCAAACAGAATTCATTATGAGGCAACATTTGTCTATAATTGTAAACAAACCAAAGAGTATAGACATATAGCATGTAAGTGTTGACGAGTGAAAAATTGTCATGCAACCTAATATAATCACCCTCTGTATCATATTTAAAGCTTGCAAGGTAATGAGGATTTTGTTATTTATGAAGTTAATTTAAATATACTCTATTATATAGATTGTTTATGTCATTTTTTTGTATAACAATCCATTGTATCTCTTTGGTTATGAGATTATTTAAATCAACCTGTGTGTAAAAAGTTTGTTTATAGATTGCTTTCATTTGACTATTACGCATGCTTAAGGAATGGTCATGCCAATAAAAGGTAAAATGAAAAATATATGACTAGATATGTCATTGTGCAATTATTTCTCTGAAAGATTACTATTCATTTGAAAAAGAGAACACAAGCAGCTGACTTTTCCCTGCTTATTCAGAAGGAATCATAACCTACCGCGTGCAATGCATGTAGTTTTGTGACAACCGTGTTAAGAAACCTTCTGCACTGGCTTACAAATGTAATTTAATAATAACAGGAGAACGTCTTCACAGCAATACAAAGACCAGTAGTGTCAGCAAAAATGTACAATACAATTGCAACTGCTCATTCTGAACAATTAAAGTAGCAATCTGGAAAGCTTATTCTTATCATTTCAAATGATGGACATTTTGGATTGACATAGCAAACAATGTTTTATTGAGCAAAGTGACTTGTTTAGACAAAGCAAGACGGACAGATAAATGTCAGGCTGTGGGCTATGGAGTGTCAAAGTTTCTGTTCCAGCTGGAGACAACACCACAGGATGTAATGGGACATGGTCTGACACTGGCTTGAGTGAAGAACTGTCTTCTCTTCTTTTTGTTAAAAGCGATAGCTACTTAAAGCAGAACAAAGAGGCTTCAGTCTGTCACATCTTAATCACAGTAGAAGTCCATGTTCTGAAAAAAAGAAGGGATTTTAAGATTAATGTTGACAACCACCTATCAGTCCAGAAACAGAAAGTATGCATCTGAGATATTACAGATATTTTAGACTGAGATGTTTATTATAAAAGAGATAAATATACGCACAGTTGTGGCAACCTTAACGGTGTTTTCAATAAACTTCTGTGTCTCGTTCACCATAGTTGCAGGGAAGTATCCAACGATGCCCATCTGGTCCACGTAGCGCTCACTGTAAACCTGACAGCAAAAATGACAGGTTCTCTCTGAAAAATTCAAATGCACCACATTATATATGCTCAATGCGTTTGACCTTCCTGGCTTAATTTGAATGTATTCAAGATGTGTGTTAAATTTAGCTTCAAAGACCAAATGTCAAATGTCTTTCTTGGCATTTTGCTCTTGTCGAAAAGGAAAGCAAGATCAATCCTATTTGTTTGTAACAGCTGCTGCATGTCCTCTCTTGCATTTATAACTGATTGTAAGCTGCACTTAGTAACACAAATGCACATACACTTCCAGACCAGAAGACGCCGGCTCCCTCCTCTGGTATGAGTTTAGAATACACATAAACCTTCTGACCCAGCCTAAGGTTGATGAATCTGCAGTCAGGAGCTATGAAGTCATCCAGGACTGTGGCCATGGATACAACATCTAAAAAAGCACAGAAAAAGAGGAAATATACATTTACAACAACTTATCAATAACATGCATTTGATTGCCATGGTTTTAACTACAGTTTTGTGGACATACAAACATCTCAAAACTCCATGCTTCTCTTCAATTTGGGGGTTGACTTACATGAGCATTCTGCATCTCCACAAATCTTGTTGTCTGCTAGTTTATCCATATGGACGGCCCCCGCAGTCTGCAGCAGAAGTCCCACACAGAGCAGAATCACCAGTGGAAAACTCATGCTGACAGAAAGAGCTGAACCAAGAGAGTGTTGTTTGTGTATGAGTGTGAATGTGGACGTTTGAAGAAACTGGAGGCTGATAACCTTCCCATAACAGTTTTCTCAGTGAGGACTGAATGTGCCGAGCCCTGACACAGAGGCTGGCTGACCAATCAGCGTTGGATTTCAGAAATGCCCCACTGTGAAAGTATTCATTTCCCACAGGGGAGTTGGCTGACTTTTCTCAGATCTTAGTCTCTTTGAAGGAACAAGCGCAGGCAGAGTTTAGATGAAGTGTTTGTCTTGAGCTTTGTGCAAAAGTCCATGTGTTGAAATAAGCATTTTAACAATATAATAACTTATAAGGGATTTTACATTACTGGAGGAAAAATGTAAAGATCAGCTTGAGTTGAAGTGCAACTAATCTTAAATGAGTTTAGACAATAAAGAACTGAGTTACTTACTCTGTTTTCTGTCAAACTAACATTCAGCAATGGTGATTTGATTCTAAAAGCCTGTGTATCTTTCTGTTTCAAATATACAGTTAAAACAAAATTGCAAAAATGCCAAGGAACAAATAAACGTAAGAAATCACACAGGATGTGATAATGTTGGGAAATTCACAACTAATTATCTGTAATTTTAACAACTGGAGCAAATGCTTTCTGGCAACAACTTGTTCAATTCAAAATCTAGACCAGTTGTTTTCCGAGACAAATGACTTAAATAAATTCAACCATACCTAGTCTAAGTTACATTTCAAAAGGTCCACACATTCAGAAAATTGTTATACCGACTTATGGAGTTAGACCCACTTCACAAATGATGGCCTATAATAATTCTGAACCTTGTCTAATGTACTAATATTTGTTATTGCAACCCTTTCTGTCCACTCAAGAGGCGTCAGATGTCCATGGAGTTTTGAGAAATATAGGGGTTATATACTCCACCCAACACATGATGGTGCTCTTGTCCTCTATGGACAACACAATATAACCACTCAATAATGTGTTTACATATATGTTTCTTTTAAACCAGTGTTATCGTTGCAATACTGTGGGATTCATCAAAGTCTCAGACTGTGGGACTCCCCTCACACAAAGCTTGGAAAAAGGCGCCACCTCAAGATTATTTCTTGTTTTGCTCAAATCCTGGATGCTTACTTGATATGTTATTTGATCTCATAGACACTAAACAATTAACTAAAGATAGCCTAAGCATTCTGTTGACATAACTTCGAAATACAAAGGTCTGTCTTAAAGTGTTATTAATGTATGACTCTGGGAAAATGTAAAACGGTTTATGCAATCTTTTTTGATAAGTAGTTTAATAACGTATGTGATATTGTTTTTACATCCATTCACTTTCAAGAAAATATGAAGCCTTCCTGTTCCTTCTACTGAAATCTCTGTTGTAGTGCTGTTGGATAGGCAAGATGATTATTAATTAATTAATGTTAGTATGCACAACATTAATGGTTAAGCCAAAACTAAATCTAGGGTTGGGTTGGGTATCGGCCTTCAGTCTCGGTGTATTTACTGTATTATGAAACAGAAAGTAAATTAATGTCATCTACGTCACACTGATTAACACGTATTTTTAAGTGAGTTAATGAAACATAGCCTACCCTTTATGGAAAAAACTAAAAAACCACTTCGTTTTTATTATCTGATCTTTTCTGTGTTATCAGAATATGTGAATATTATATTTCCACAATGTTATGAATATGCAGAGGTGGGAAGTAGTGGAGTATAAATACTTTGTTACTGTACTTAAGTACATTTTTCTTTTTACTTCTAACATTTTTAACACAAATACCTGTACTTTCTACTTCTTACATTTTCAAAACAGGCTGGTTACTTTAGTTTTAATCTGCGTTAATATGTACTACGACTGAATAAGCAAAGCCTCAAAATGTAACCTATGGGTAAAATATTGGTATATTACTAAGTTGATGACATATTTTTTGATCTTGTGTAATTTTTTGGAATCGTCTGATGCAAACCTGTGTGAAACTGAGTTAATATGTGGTTGACCGCTGTGAGAACCTGCGTAGCCAGGCTGGCGGGGTTTAAACCTACATACTTTTGGAAGTAGGAAAACTATTTCAACCGCCCATTCGCGCTGCTAAGTTGTTAAAATCAAGCACACCCCATTGGCATTTAGAGCTATGACGTACACAGGCTGTAAACTCAAAGCGACGGTGTCGGACGGGGCTGTTATTGTTCGGTTTGAAGAGTTTGCGGGCGGTCGGTCCTTTGTTTTTATTTTGGGGGTTGTAAGCTACCACTAGCAGAAGAACTCGTCTCAAAAACCATCACCTGCAAGCCTGGGCTGAGGTTTATTTTAATGATATAGCAGCATTTAAAACCAGGTAGTGGTAAGTTTACAAGTCCCCAAAATAAGCTGATGGATGCGCGGGTATCGGAGTTGTTTGGTTCAGGAAATGACTCTGGATCTCAAGATGTTGCGTCCAATGTTTTGCCGGGAAACAGCTATGGAGTAGCCCTAAAAAAATCATGTGTAAAGATGCACAAGAAGTCCAAATCGCGATTCGCTCGCAACTTCAAACCAAGCAACAACCCACCATATCTACCTCCCGAGGTAAGCCTGCAATTAAGCCCACAACTAGCTTCACGGCTAGCTAAAGCTATTACGAAGCAAAGTATTGTAATTTTGAATGTCATTGTGTTCATGTTGAGGCATTCTACGACCTAATTCCAAGTTATAATACATTCCCTGTCCCCGAGCTCAGATATGCTTCCTTGAATTGTGTTGGACATAACAGGCAGTGACACGTAGCTCGTCGGTAACCATAACTTAATGGAAAATGAATTAGATGCATACCTTCTGCTTACATTAGCAATTTAATTTAACAATGCTCGTTACATTACACATATTCCCAGTAGTTCTACAGTAAAAAGACCACTGTGTTCATTAATAGCAGCTTGAAGGCTAGTATTTTGCTAGCTAGCTAACGGAGGCGGAACAGCTGTGTTTGTAAATATGTTAAGGGGGGCGGTGTGTATTCTGTCGGGTCAAAGCTAGCGAATCTTACTATTACTGTCCCTGGCATTTACTCAGCACTGTGTTACTACACACTGATTACTTGTTTACAACGAGTAATACCTACAATTACATACTTGACATTGAATCCCTCAATAACATGACAAAATAATGTTGAAAAAGTGTTGACCTCAAAGCGAAATTAATTTAACCTAAAGCAAAATAAAAGCATTTTATAAATAACTTTTTACATAATATATAATAAAGACTATCTTGTGCATCTTTTCCCTAAAGGTAAGCAATAAGCAGCATTTTGCCAGCTCTATGCTCATATATTTATGTGTTATGGGACATGTCTCAACATACCCCATGGCCTCAGTGGTTCTCTCATCTTTGTTACCAGCTCCATTGTTTTGCAGTGAACACACTTTTTAGTATACATTTGAGTTACTAGCTAACATTTAGATATGCGTGTGCTTTTTCTAGTTATACATTAAGAATGTATGTATTAAGGCTAGCTAAGCAGGTTGTATAGTTCTCGGTGACAACCTATTCACAGAATGACCCCTCATTCAGTCAGATTGCTTTTCTTTGTGTCTTTTAACAAATCAATAGCCCGTTGTCTCACTTCACTACTGTCTGACAGCTTTTGTTCCTGTTCTGTCTCTGTTTGTCTCTTTTTTTCTCTCCTTGTCTATCAGGCTGAAGAGGGAAATATAGAGTACAAGGTAAGCAAATTATGTGTCATTCAAGATTGTACTGTGTTCAAAAATATATGATGGTTTTATTCATAGTAAAATATGTCAGAATAAGTGCATTCTTGCATTATATACCATGAAAACTGAACACCACAGTGGATAAGCTAGAGCAGGTATTGTATCTGCACTGCTGCCTCTCCTGCTAGATCAACATGCAATATTGTACATAAGATGTTTGTATAGCCCCAACCCTACAGTAACTGTTTGTAATGCTAGTTATTTGCACTACAAGTATTAAACCACGGACGAGACCCATTTTAATCTCTATCATCCAGGTTTAAGTTCAGCAGAAATTTCAATTGTCTTTCCTTTTTCTAGCTCAAGCTAATAAACCCCACACAATACCGCTTCGAGCACCTGGCTACGCAGATGAAATGGCGACTGCAGGAAGGTCGAGGCGAAGCTGTCTATCAAATAGGTGTTGAGGATAACGGCATTTTGGCGGGACTATCAGAGGAAGATTTGAGAACATCACTAAATACGCTCCATGAGCTGGCAGAGAAGTAAGTCAAGTTTCCAAATTCACATTTTACTGGAAGCTAAGTGTATTGTAACTGTTTGGTGTCAAGTCACAAGCCTATCCAAACACACTGTTTAAATCTGCTAATAACAACAAAGCAATTGTCCAATTTGCCAATGTGAATGCATACTATAAGCAACACCTGGTTACTTGTAATTACACAATTGAAACCCCAAACTTAAATTATGTATTTGTGTTTTGATTTCTAACAGGGTTGGAGCCGACATCACTGTTCTCAGAGAAAGAGAGGTGGACTTTGACTCGGATGTGCCTCGTAAAATTGCTGAAGTTCTTATCCGCAAGGTGCCAGATGACCAGCAGGTAAGTTGGGGCCACTGTGAAGAGATGTTGTTGATGTTGTTCATAATTCAAATGTTAACCCTGCTCATTCTTTGTGTGTTTCTCCTGCAGTTCTTGGACTTGCGAGTAGCTGTTATAGGTAATGTGGACTCGGGAAAGTCCACTCTGTTAGGTGTCCTGACACAGGGGGAGCTGGACAATGGACGGGGAAGAGCGAGGCTAAACCTCTTCAGACATCTACATGAGATCCAGACTGGACGCACTTCCAGCATCAGCTTTGAGATCCTTGGCTTCAATAGCAAAGGGGAGGTGAGAAAAGATCGAAAGGCAGCAAATAAATAATGTGTTTTCTAGTAATATCCTATTTCATATTTGTTTTATAAATAGCAACACAAGTTAAAAACACAACATTGTGGTTATCACAGGGTTTCATTATCAAGATACTCAAGTAGTTCAGACAAGTTGATATGGTTTTCTAAATAGTGATATAAAGAGGAAAGAAAGTTTAATTGACTGATCCTGACACGGACCTCACCTCAAACACTCACCTCGTCAAACTAGCTTTTAATGTGTGATTGTTGTTTTATTGCTCGACTTGAAAGTGACTTTTACTATATTTATTTGTTTTCCTTTTTTTACTACCTCTGTAAAGCGACTTTGAGCACCTGTAAAAGCACTTACAAAACAAATATATTATTATGAATGCAATGTATTGTTAATGCTTCTTCGTGTAATGTGAGTGACTAATCTAGTCTGAGCTATATTTCAAATGAATAACTGAGGAATATGGTTTGTAGTTTAGATCATGACACTCAATACATATTGGCTTCTTTTCCCAGGTTGTGAATTACAGCGAGTCTCGGACAGCAGAGGAGATTTGTGAGAGTGCCTCTAAAATGATCACATTCATAGATCTGGCGGGTCACCATAAATACCTGAAGACCACCATCTTTGGCCTCACCAGCTACTGTCCTGATTTCGCAATGCTGGTCGTCAGCGCAAATACCGGCATTGGTGAGCATTCATTGGTTCATTTCAGTTTCATTATTGTTTGTTGAAATAAAAGTGTTGTGGTGTCTTTATTTGTGCCCTTAATCTAGTGACTTTACTATTTAAAAAAAAAGACAAGTTGAAAGTATATCTGTCACAGGGAGAGAGGCAGGTAATAGACACTTGCAGGGCGAGTCTGACGGAGAGCCTATGTTTGTGTACACTTTTAGTAGACTTGGCCAGCTGTGACTTTGCATGTGATATCTGATCTTATGTAACTGACCACCGTTCTTCCACTGCCACTGCTGTCCCTGCCTGCCACTACTCAAATACCATCCATTAATGTTAGAGTCCTCTGACCTGCTGGAAGTCACTCTGTGTATCTCCTTCCTTGCATGAAGCTGAAAATCTTCAACTTTCAACCAACTTTTAACGTTTCGTTCTTGTCCCATAGAAAATTAATGGGATGAACTTTGCACTGCGCTGTCTTTAGTGAGAATTTATTGTCACGTTGACCTAACATTTGCAAAACGTATTCTGATTATTTGAATTCTGTATGCATCACATGCTTTCAACAACCCAGACCTTTTATGATAACAGCAGCTGAGACTGAGTGCAGGAAGTAATTACCACTAAGTTCCAGAAAGGACTTTTGAAACCTGACCAGTTAAAACCGGTTGGACAGGCTATGCTGCTCTTGCTTTGCTTGTACAAGACAAGTTGCTTGTTTACTGTCTTTATTTATGTTTATTGCTTTAATACTATTATACAAATTGATTGGGTTTTTTACATTTTGCAAAACAAAATCCTGTCAGAAGTGGGATTCGAACCCACGCCTCCAGAGGAGACTGCGACCTGAACGCAGCGCCTTAGACCGCTCGGCCATCCTGACGTAAAACAGGCTCTAATGGCTGTGCATAATCTCTTTCAGGAGGGGGAGGGGTTGGGCGCTTTGGAATGCACAGCATGTGTGCCCACCAGATAAGAACACAATGTTAACTACGTGTGACCTCCTGTAAAGAATCCCTGTGCTTTGTAAACAAAAGCCTTACATAACACGAGGTGATGAGGAACCCATACTTCTGTTTTGCTTCTTTTTTGAAAGAGGTAAAAAAACATCTAGATGAAACATAAGCCTTGGACACAACACATGTTTCTCAGACCAACCTGTGGTAGTAGCTGGATAACCTGTAGAGTGTGCTGTGTTTGTGTGGGTGTCTTTTAGGGTGAGGGGAAATGGGGTTAAGAACGAGGACTTCCTTAGCTACGTGACAGACGGAAAGGGAACACAGTGTCTGCAACCCTAGAGCAACAGCTTGAATTATAAAACAGGGAAATGAATATGTGTAATGCATAGGGCTTGTCTTAGGTTATATCTGTGACGAGCCAAATATCTTTACACCTACACGAAGGGTGAGGATATTTTCCTATGCACCTTGACTTTGGATGCACTGAAAATAACACACCCAGCAAAACAACCCGCTGCTCAGCTGATGAGGAGAAGAGGGTATTTAAGTCTCTGTCAACCTGTATGGGTCAGTCCCCTTGAACTCTTTTGGGATGTAGGTTGCCTTGAGTGCTATATCTGAGCTGATACTTAATCTCCATAAACATACACACTGTACCAATATCACTTTCTCTCACACGTCGTCCTTTACAAACGAACAGGACCCATGCCTCCAGGACTCTGCTTCCCCTGTGAGAAGTCTGTGTTTAAAACAGAAATTACATAATTAATATAAAGTGTTAAATATTCCTGTATTGATATCCGACCTTTGATGGCTACAATCATACGTCATGGTACATTCTATCTGTTCTTATCATTTGTGTACATGCTATTTTGATCCTCTGACTCACAGTAAGAGACAGTGTTAACAGTCCTGTCCCTCAAGGATGTGGATTTCGTTTCATGTCCATTAATTGCAAATTCCTCTGTATATGAACATCATGCACAATATAAATCAATATTGCGTTTGTGCACTTGTAAAACTTAGCTTAAATATGTGAAGTGGTGCCCTAACCCTAACTGACTCATTTAAGAAGCCCTATCTAACAAAATCTCTTCTTCCTCTCCTTTCTCTTTTCCAGCTGGTACAACACGGGAGCATCTTGGGATTGCCATGGCCCTGAAGGTGCCCATCTTCATCGTCATCAGTAAAGTGGACCTCTGTATGCGGGCCACAGTGGAGCGCACTGTGCGGCAGTTGGAGCGTGTCCTGAAGCAGCCGGGCTGTAACAAGGTGCCCATGGTTGTGAGCAGCACGGACGATGCCGTCACAGCGGCACAGCAGTTCGCACAATCACCCAAGTATGGAAAAATAAGATAAACATAACCGAGTGTGTCAATGAACTGTTTGTTTTGTGAGTGCCCACTCTATAATGTAACACTCGTATAAAAGTATAATGTGAAAACTGACCAGTAAGGCTGTAGTCAACCAAAGAATATCTTTGTCAACTGAAATTATATCTAGTTTTTAACCAATTGATTGCTTGATAGGGGAAGGGGAAATAAAAAAATCTGCTTATTATCTCTAGTTCAAGGTTGGTAAACATAGGCCGTCTGTTTTTAGTTGTAGCCGAGAGATCAGCGCGATATCTCAGGTTGTACATCATCTGTTTTTTGTAAATTGATTATTAATTAATTATGAATGTTTTCACACAATACTTTAACACTCCAAAGAAAGGAAAACTTGTTGTTATTACGCAGCGGCTTTATGTGTGTGTGTTAAGTATGTGTTCTGATCACTTGCTTTTACTCTCTGGCAGCATCACACCCATCTTCACCCTGTCCTGTGTGACTGGAGAGAGTCTAGACTTGATCAAGGTCTTTCTAAACATCATCCCTCCTCTCAGCAACAGCAAGGAGCAGGAGGAGCTTATGCAACAGCTAACTGAGTTTCAGGTATGACCGTGATGGAGTTTAATAATGCATGGAAGTGATCAGCTGGCCCCCTCTTGCAGACGCAGTGTAAATACACATGTTTTTTGACTGACACCAGTGCGCATTATTACAGGTGGATGAGATCTACACAGTGCCAGAGGTGGGGACTGTGGTGGGAGGAACTCTGTCCAGGTCAGTGTGTGGACATGCTAACCTTATGTTCATCTGTACAACACTGTTTTCTGTTTATTATGGACCAACTGACCAACTGTCCTCTCTGAATGTGCAGTGGTATTTGCCGTGAGGGAGATGATCTTGTGGTAGGGCCCACAGACTCGGGCCAGTTCCACAAGTTAACCATCGAGAGCATCCAAAGAAACCGCTCAGCGTGCCGGGTCCTCAGGGCCGGCCAGGCGGCCACACTCGCCCTGGGCAACTTCGAACGCTCACTACTACGCAAGGTCAGGCTTCTAACTCTTTCTTTCTCTCTCTACTGTTTGCCTTTCTTAATATTTAGAGAGAAAACATGTAAAGGGACGGTTTAAATTGAATCAACTTGTAGGTTTCACACATGTACAAGCCCTGCATACACAGTGGACTTTAAACCATGCATTAAAGCATTCCTAGGAGATCAGTGTGGGGTGTGGTGCCTTGTTAAAGGGGACCCCCGCAGTAGGGCTGCAAGATTTTGGGGAAAAATCGAATTGCGATTTTTCTGGCAAATATTGCGATTCGATTTGCGATATTTGTTTTTAAGCGACCCAACGGAAGTTTATTGTAAAATGCGGCCATATCTCCGGCTAGGAAGGTCGGATCAACATGTTCCCGTCTCTAGCACCCCCATGGCCGCATTTTACAATAAACTTCCGTTGGGTCGCTTAAAAACAAATATNGGCAGCATGGTAATTGAATATATGAACAACACTGTCAAACAATTGAAGTCATTGTTTGAAGGAATGCTGTGTGACTTATTCTGCTCTCCCTTGCATCATGTCCCCAGGACTCCACCCCTCACCCTGCTACACATCTCAGCTAGCAAATTTAGTGATGCTCCATCAGCAGGGGGCATTGCTGGCTTTCTTTCCACTGATGTGTCTTCAAGCCAGAGTCTTTTCCCCACCTCTCAGCTCTCAACCCAGACACCCTCTGAACTGAAAACTGACTCCTCAGAAAAACAATCCTCCACCATCCATTCCCTTTTCAAAAAGGCAGCTGAGAAACACAGACTGAAGGTTACAAAAGATGAAGACGAGGAGGTCGAGGATAAAGACTCCACCGGGATTCTCCCATCTTCCTCCTTTATCAAAACTGCTGATAGTCAGTTAGAGGCAGATAACAATGTTCCTGTTCCCTCTGTGGTTTCTCACCTTAAAAATGTTTCAGACAGCTCCAATTCTGGAATGTCCTCTTTCTTCCACAAGAAGAGACTTGAAAGGGACTCAGCCTTAACTTTGAACACACCTGAAACAGAACTCAAGCCTGGACCTGACAATACACATGCCTCAGAAGACACTGTTGCTGCTGTGTCAGACCTTGAGGCAAAACATAGCTCCTCTCAGCAGGCACCATGTGAAGAGTTACGGGATGAAACAGACTTTGATCCAGAAGCCAACCCTCCTCCTTTCAGCGTGGCTAAAGAGGACTTGATGAACTGTGAGCGCTGTGGCCAGGAAGTGTCCGTCTGGGAAATGCCTGAACACAACGACTATCACTTCGCCCTGGACCTCCAGAAGTCCCTCTCTTCATCAGCACCCAGCTCTTCCTCTTCCTCCAATGCCTCCTTGACTCCTCACAGAGCCCAGTCCACACGTGGCAAGACAAAAACCAGAGGCCTGTCAGGACCACAACCCAAAAGGCATCGCTCTCAAGGTGGAAGTGCGGGCACTCTGGATTCTTTTTTCAAGAAGACCTGAGGATGTGCTGGAGAGCAGCACTTTTTTTTTTTTTTAAAGTAAATAAAAACACAAACTTAAATGTACAGAGAAAGTCCAAAGAGCTGAATGCCATTTTGTAAAAGGATACAGCACCTGTTTAAAGATGTGCCTTATATTGTAGAGTATAAATGACAGCAAGTGTTTACTTATGCACTTTGTGTTAAGTGTGCTTTTTTATTCTAAATAAAGAAAGGCAATACTTTTTTTAAACATGCTTATTAAAGTTTTCTGTAGTTGTACACCTTGTGTTGTAGTATTCTGGTGTGCCAGCAGAGGCCACTAATCAGTTGCATGTAGAGCAGGAATCCTCAGAGGATGTCAATACTGAGTTTTCTTGTGAGCTCAAGGATACAGGAAATGTTTGTTTGAGATATTTGAATTAGACTGCCAGTAGCATGGGTCCAGTTGCACCATTATGATGTGTCATCCTGTGTTGTTTACACTTTCCTCCCATGAAGAACCCTGTTCAAGGCGCTAAAAGAAAGCTGAATGAGGAATTGACTCTTGCGTTGTCTTGCATCAGCTGTGTAACGCATTAGGAGGAGCAGTGCCTGTTAAATGGAATAACCTTTCAAACTCAGTGGTATGAAGTGAGTCATGACTTTGTCACAGGCCAGTAGATGAAATGCTGGGTGTTTGATGACACGGTTGAAAACACTGAGCAATTTAGTTGTTTACTAAAAACATAACAAAAGGTAAAAGCACCTGGTATAGACAATACAACTTTTATTCATGTATCATGAACACAAACTGGATCTGTACATAAATATTGCATTCCACCCAAATAATGATCAACATGTACACTTTATTTCGATTTAAGGGAGGGCTCTAAAACTACTTTCAGAAAAGTGAAGATGTGTTTGGAAGGCTGTGAAAAACGCGATTGAATATATATTGTAAAATCTGGAACTACTAGAAATCTATAAAATACTCAAGTTGCATATAACAAACTAAAACCTGATACCCTTTATAAAGGCTATACATATAAGTTGTCTGAGTGCACACAAATTAAGCATAACAAGAAAGTGTGTGCAACTAAACAGGGCACACATTTTGTCTCTATCGTGACCGTCAGTGGGACAGCAGGTTATGCTACAGTCGAAACAACATGCTATAATAAGACATGAGGCCAACAGCAGCCTCGAACAAAGGGTAGCAACTAACATTCATCTTCAAAGTGTTCTTCTACACATCAAAAGCTGTTTACAGGAATCTAGCACCAACTTAATAAGATAGTTTTACTAAGTTGTAAGACTTTGGGGTGTAATGGTTGACTACTCAAACGGTAGCTCCATTAGGCACTGTGTAAAATCCCAAAGTGAGTGACATCAGTAACTGAAGTGAAGAGACGACGTCAAGTACCTTTAAATGCTTTAAAACAAAGCTACATCAGTAGGCAGCTTTACATAATATAAAATCCATAACCAAACATCTCTTTGGGAAAAAACACCCTTTCATTTATCTTCCTTCTCACCAAGCCAGCAACAGAAAGCTCCTGGGAGTCGTTCTGTGAGTGGAATGCTGTCTTATACCTTATCTAAACTGACCTGAGTAACTAAAGCACTTAAAGACAGGCAGCGAGAGACTGTCCCACTGCACTATCGTGAGGTGAGGCATAATCCGTGATAGAAAAAATACACAACTATCTGAACATATGTGACATAACAAACCACTTACAAAGTGAGTGCCAATGTGAATGATCTTGGCAGGCTGACGCAAAATCAGTCAGGTTCTTACTCCGCGTACCTCAAATGCGGTCCTTTACCTACATTGAGTTTCCTTTAGTCAGCACTAGTAAAGCTTATAGCAAGATGGTTTAGCTTATATAAAACTGACCAGCTGTGTCTGCTATTATCCCACATACATAAGCAGAGGTAAGAACATCTTTATCAGTCAGGCACTATGTGGGGTGATGAAACAGGTAACACATTAATGCCCATCTCATACTTGCAACTGTTTGTAAACAATTATCTGCCAAAGGTATATCGAAACTGGCATTTATGTTTCAGTGCGAGTTTGTGAGGATCTTTTTAAAAGCACGTGTTAGGAGTGCATTAAGGTGTAAACTGTGTAAACAGAACTTCAACGCTGTGTGAAAGCACATTCCTGTTCTTTACACTCAACATCATGTTGGTAGATGTTGTGGACGTGTCCTTCACGATGTGACAGAGGTGGCTGAGGGGTTTCCTCTTATCAGTGCCACGAAAAACAAAGATAAGCTGTTGTTAAAAAAAAAAGAGGCTGAAACGAGGCGGAGGGTGACAACAAGGCTTTGGAAAAGGGTGATTAAACAGTGATCTCCTGAGACAGTAATGAATGTGCAGAGAACAGGACAGAGTGGCCTTTGGAGAAAGCAGGAAGTCTTTTATAAAGCACCTTGTCTTTGGGTGGGACGGTGTTTTCTGTTGTTTTCTCAGAGTAACTTTAAGCCTCATCGTCCTCGCTCTGGGACGGCCGGTACTGGGCGATGGGCTGCAGCTTGGTGACGTGGCCGATGCCTTTGGTCACGCCCTCTCTGAAGAGCAGCTTCGCTCCCACCTTCAGGTATTCTGGGTGCTTGAGGAACTTGAACACGACAACTGCTTTTTCCCCTGTCCTCAGCTCCTCCTGTGGTAAAGCAATTAGAAAACAAGAGGAACAAATAAAACGGCATTAAGAAACAGAATTGTCGGACATAATCTGAATGTTGAAGTCGAGGACATCTTTCAGACTCCAACAGTTGGATGATCTAACCTTGCCACACACAGCTTCCACAGTTGCGGTCTGTCTCACATTGCCGATGTGCACAGTAACCTGGAAGCCCTTGTGGAAGGTCTTGGCATGGAAGAGCAGCACAATCTCAGCCTCAAACATCCAGCAGATGGTAGGATCCATCTCCGGACTCACCATCACCATGCCCTGGAAGTAGAAAACACATGATCGTACACACAGATTACAAATCAGGTCTTACGTGATGAAAATATTCATTATAAATACAGTGATAAAGCACCAAATCAGATATTGTCAGTTCAAGTCCACAAACGGACCAAGTTTTAGAAAGTGGACCATTACTTTAAGAGGTGCCAGATCTAACTCTGCACTGCGGGGTAGGGCTGAACCATTAATCGATTTTAAATCGAAATCGCGATTTTAAATGATGTGATTATCAAATCGCAAAGCCTGCGATTTTTTTTAACATTTTTTTTTTTTTTAAACATTTTTTCTTTTCTTTTTTGCATTTTTTTAAAACTTTTTTTTTGTTCTTCTTGTGTGTCAGTCATCCACACCAATCAGAAGTGCTGTGCTCAACATGTACAAGTCATTGTTAACCAATCAAAAGTGGCCCATGATAGAAGGTGATTGATCCAATCACCTGCCAAGTATTTTTGAAAGTCCCTGCCCTTTCCAAATGGCTTCCAATGGAGCTTTCCTAGATGGTTTGGTGAAACAAACCATCTGAGTCAGGTTAGTAATTAGACCCTCCAGAAAAACGCGATTCTGCGATCGCAGAATTTACCGCATAATCAGCCAAATGGCGCAGATTTTTAAAAAGCCGCATATTTATCAAAAGGCCGCATAATCCCCACATTTTTCCACACAAAGTTGAGAAGAAAAAAAAGTTAA